GGGGCCTAATCCCCAAACCTGAGACAACTCTTACACAAGAAGTTAAATCTCAAATGGCAAAGCAAGGCAGAACCTGAACTCAGGTTTCCACATTACAGTTTTTCACATCTTCTTTAAGCCACAACAACATCCAATCCCTTCTCATGACCTTGGCACTATGGCATTCACTTCCCCAGACTGCATTTGGTTCTGATTAAACAGCAAATTAAAGCAACATTTGTACCAATTATTTCTCACTTGTACAAGTATGTAATTCTCCTATGTAATGAAAGAATTATCCAGCAGACAGTATAAACATCCTGCACAAGATAAATGTAAATCAGGAATGTAAAGTCTAGATAAAGACTTTGTATTCTTTTTCCTTGCTCAGCTGATAAAAGTCAAGAATATAAAAGAAAAACACCAGAAATGTGGGAAGGAAATAGTTTTGAATCAGGCCCCGTGGAAAGCAAGAAGTGTCTTACCAAAGGTCCTGACCATCAGCCACCCTCTCCAGACGCACTGCATCACTCGGCCATTCAACATTCACAGTCAAATGCTTCCGAAATCTCAAATTCTGTCAGCTCTTAAGATTACACTTCTTTATGCCGCTGACAAAAGGCTGCAGAAATGCCATGCAGTTTGGATACATTCCCAGAAATCTCCTCCAGCAGTTAAAAGATACATATCACTATCAGCAGTCTCAATAACTTTTCTGACCTCTACTAGAGACTGAGAGTTGGACAGTGCCTGGCAAGTCGGTCCTCTGCACCCATCCTCCCCGCTGGCAGAGGACAAGAGAAGGGACTCAGCTTGGTGGTGACAAGGCCACCCTGCCCACCTGGGGAGAAGGGGGTTTCGCTGACCATCCCTGCAATAAATGTGGGCTTGATCAAAGGTTCTCTGGGACAATGGCAGGATGGTAACCCCAGCTCCCCCACAAACCCAGCCTCAGCTCTCACACCTTTAACCCTGCTGGCACACAGAGCCCTCAGCACCACCACAACATTACAGCTCCACGAACCAGACATGACCAGGTGTCCAAGATCTTGGCTGACAAGTTATATGTTCATAAAAGGACATTTTTAATTTGCAGTACAATAGTTTCAAGTCTGTCTCACAGCCAGCTTTCCCTTTTGCCTCCAAAGCAGTATCATAAATTCATTCCAGGCCACAAGCAGTTGTCTAAAACTCCTGTACATTATCTTAGGAAAGCATAACGCTCAATTCCTTTAAAAGACAGGGGAGCAACTGAGTCACTTCACATATTTTGGCAGTCACATACAAGGCAATGGGTATGTCCAAGAGGAAATAACATCACAAACTGGCAAAGAATGGCTACATCTACCCGTTCAGCAAGACTGGGTCCATGCTAAAACGTACTTCTTTGAAGATGAAATTGGAAAGCATTCACCTCAAGTATTACTTCTGTATTAACACATGGACATGAAAGTTGGAAGCCCATCAAACCACAGACAAAACCTTTCTACATGCAAACGTGTTACACATGCCTCCTTAGCATTTCTCTGACAAACGCAGTGGCAGCTCAGCTCCCTCTGCTCCTCTTCTGGATAATTCTCCCCAGACACGCGGGGATCTTGTGCCGCGCCAGCGGCCGGTGGGCACCCGGGGACACTACCGGGGACCCTGGGGGACAAAGCGCAGCGAGAACACAGTGCTGGTGTTTGGCTCCCATAAGCTCCTCCGCGGCACACGGTGCCAGGTCGGAGACCTTCCTTTCCCGGATCACACACTACCGAACACGGGCTGATGGTTTCTTTTGGGGCGAGAGCAGCATCCCCGGAGAGACAGGGATGCCACTGCCGTGCCCTGGTCCCGCGAGGGGCCTCCAGACCTGGGTAAGGGATGCATGGCCAGGCCTCCCCAGCGCTGCAGCCCGGCCAGCCCCGGGCAGCGCGGCAGGTCCGGCCGTGGCCGGGCCCGGCGGGGCAGGACCCCCGGCCCGCCGCGGTGCGGGCAGCCCAAGGTCGCCGGGCCGGGTTGCAGCGGGGGCGACCCCAACATCCTCTACCCCAAGTAACATCAGCTCCCGTCGGGTCGGTCCCCAAGGCCTGACCCTCCGGGAGTCGCCGCCGCTCCGAACCGAGTCTCGGAACCCGCGGGAGGCCCCAGGCCGGTGTCCTCCCAGCCCGCATCTCGCCCGGCGCCCCCTTATCCGGCCCCGCCGCCCTGGCCATACCCGGCTCTCCCGCCCGCCGCCCCGGCGCTGCCCGGTCCCGGCCCCCCGCTCCGGCGCTGCCCAGCCCCCGCGATGCGGCGGCCCCACGCCCGCACCTGCCGCGCCACCTCGGCCGCCGCCATCGCTGCCCGCCCGCCGCACGTTCCGCCCCGGCCTGCGGGCGGCTCCGGGCGTGCCCACCGCGGCACCGCGCGGGGGGGGCCCGCCGCGCCCCCGAGCCCGGCCTGTCCGCGCTCCCCGCCCCGCCCCGCCTCCCCCGCCCTGCTCGGCCCCACCGGTCCTGCCAGTCCCGTCGCCGTCGCCGTCGCCGCCGCCGCGTTCTGTGAGGTGCGGGGCCGCCGGTCCCTCCCCGCGGCAGCCCGCGATGGTGCAGGCCAGGCTGCAGGCGGGGCGGGCGGAGGTTCGCGGCGGTGGCTTGAGGGGCCAGGCGAGCGCGGAGCTCCGGCCGGGGGGTCCCGAGCCCCGGCCCGGTGGGGCCGCAGCCCCGGCCACCGGTCCCGAGACTCGCGGGCTGCCCAGCTGCCTCCGCGGTCCCCCGGCCCCTGCCCGCTCCCGATTCCCCGGGAAGACGCAGGGGGACCCCTCCCGATGCCTGCGGCCCCTGCGGTAACACGGGCCGGGCCGGAGAGGAGCCGTGCGATGCCGAGGCCGGGCTGGGGTTCGCGGCTTGGGTCCGTTCAGGTCCCCCAGCCTCAGCACATGAGTTGCTCTTTCAAGCGGCCTGTCCCAGCTGTGCTGGACGGTTCAGGCCCGCCTGGGCACCCGGCTGAGCGCGGCTGTGTCGAATTCCCTCGTTGTGGCACCACAGCTCCTTCCCGGCCCCGGCGGTGCAGCCTCACCTCCCGGCCTATCATGAGCACAACTGCAGCTCCGAGCGTGTAGCTGGTGCCACTTGGGTTTCCCTTCTTTTGATGGCAGCAAAACCACCAAACAAGGCTCAGTGAGAGGAAGCTCAGTCCTTCCCCAAAGTAACTTTCCCAGCCCCTGGACTCCCAAGTCCCCAAGGTTGTCCCCCTGGTTTTATCATGGTCAGAGCTCACCAGTGTGTCCAGTCCCTAATGCAGGCATAACTGTGGTGGCCATCAATGGGATGTTTGCTTTGCACCGTTAGTGCCTTCATCCCCCAAGAGCAGCTCCTTATTTCCCTCCTTGTTTTCCCCAGATGCCAACCAAGTGTTTTCAACTGTTCAGGAGGATCTCATGGCTGAGTGGTTCTCTGCCTCCCTGAGCCCACAGAAGCCACCAAAACCTAGTGACAAAACCAGGCAGCTCCAGAAAGGCAGCAAGGGGACAATTATGGTTTCACCACCAGTTGTTTGGGGGTTGAGATTATACCAACTCCCCACACATTCCAGAAAAACTGGTCCAAGTGGTTGGAAAAGCAGAGGCCTTCAAGGGCTGACGACCAGCTCAGGGCAACTCAGAGCAGGGCTATAGCTCAGGGAAGGCAAAGAAAAAGGGGTTCAAGGAGCTGGTGTGGCTTTTAGCTGCCTGGCCAGCCACAAAACCACCTGGTTTCATGGTTCAGCCATGGGTGTCAGAGCAGTCATGGATAAGAAATTTCTGGAGAGAAAGAAGCCTGGGAGCTTTTGGGGCAGAATAATTAGTCCTGATTTCTAACAAAATTAGGATACAGACTACTGGTGGCTGCAGCTATCAGCTGCGCATGGACTGTGCTACAAAGGGAATCATGGCAAGAGAGGAAGGCCAAATTCCCCATGGGATGAAACACTGGATGACAAGGACCCAAACAGTGTCCAGGCTGGGTCTCCCTTACATCAGAGACCCACCAGCCACTGGGAGCATGGCCTCTTGAGGCAGCAACCTAGGCCTTCCTGAGCACAGCATCACAGAGAAGCATTGCAGTCATGGGAGGCTATAAGGCAATTGCTTCAGTAGGTGCTTGGGGTGCTGCTGGGGTCAGAGGAAGTGTCCTGGGACCACTGTCATGGATTTACACACACCAGACAATGTAACAAGGCCTGACCCTGGGACCCTGCTAAGAATGCTGGGTTCAAGTGAATGTTTCCAATGAATTTTTTGTTAGTTCTTTGGTTACAGCTGAAGCTGGTGCTTCCAGAGAGGAACCCCTACCCCAATTTACACCTCTCACTTATACCCCTGACACTCATCACCCAATCCAAGTCAATAACTAAATTCTGGTTGGCAGTGTCTTGATTTCTTGCTGGAAAGAAATCAATTGAGAATTCTTTCACTGGAGCTGGGCTGGCTGCCTTCTGATGTTGCTTTATTCTCCTGGGATTGTCTCCTTAGTCCTTATCATCTCCATTCTGCTCATATCTGCTGAATTCCAGGAGTGCTTTCTTAGCAGCATCATTTTATCAAAAGTCTCTGTTTGGTCAGCTCTTACGGCCTAAGGCTTTGGCTACTTCAGGTGCTAAAGCTGAGCCAGCAGTGCTAAAGGAGACTATTCAGGCAGGAGAATATAGTTCATCAATTTCTGCTGTAGCGTCAGCACTGAGCTGCCCAGGACCCCTGTGCCTCTGTCCGGTTCCACAGTTCTGTACACTCCCTGTATTCCCACACTTTCCCTGTATTCCCACTCGTTCCCTGAATTCCCGCACCCTCCTGTATTCCCGGCCGCGCTCCCTCTGTGACACCGCAGGCGAGCGCGGCCGGGGGGGCAGAGCCAGCCCGGGCTCGAGGCCGTGCCCGGCACCGGCGGCAGCCACGGCCACAGCGTGACCAAAGGTCACCTGCGCCGCCCCGGCAGCGCCGCCGCCATGCCCTCCCGCCGTGCGGAACTGGTTCCTCCTTCGCCGGGAGAGGAAGCGTGGGGTGAGTGCCGGGGAGCGTGAGCAGTGCCCTGCTGGGGACAGCCCTGCGGGGGCAGCTCTGCGAGAGGCACCGCCATGGCCCGGCAGGAGCGGGAGAAGAGCGTGGTGGAGCAGAAGGTAGCTGGCATCTCCCGGAGGTTCTCCTTCCTGGATGCCGCCCAGCCCCGAGCGGGCGGCCTGGCCCGCAGCTCCCATCTCTGGTCAGCCACCCTGGGGAGCAGGGAGCGTTTCCATACGCTGCAGAAGATGGACACCAACAAAAGCATCAACTGGGGCAGGCACAGCCTGGGGAGCTGGGGCAGGACTTCAGGCAGGTTCTCCGTTAGCCCCAGCAGTACCCGGAGGAAGGAGCTGAAAGAAATCCTCCTGCAGAGCAACAGCCCTGGCAGCACTATGCGGTTTGCCACTGTTCAGCAGACATCTAGAAGGAGCGGTCTTCCTTCAGGGCTGCATCAAGAAGAGAAGCCTGAGCAGAGCCCTGATCTGCTGCCCCTTGTCCTTGATCCTCTGGAGCACGCATGGCTGCTGACAGTGGCCGAGGGTGATGCAGACAGCATCATCAAGCTGCTGGACCTGGATCCCAGCCTGCTGACCAGGAGAGACTTTGTGACAGGATTCACCGCTCTCCACTGGCTTGCCAAGCATGGCCACCATGAGAGCTTCATCCAGGTCATCTCCCATGCCCAGAAGAAAGGCTATCCTGTCAACATGAACATCCCCACAGCCAGCGGTGGGCTCACCCCTTTGCACCTGGCTGCCTTGCAAGGACACGAGGTGCTCATCAAGTTGCTGGTGGGAGCTTATGGGGCAGACACCACCTGCAGGGACCACAATGGGCGCAAGGCTTGGCAATACCTGCCGGCAAACACCTCCAGAGACCTGAAGGAGCTGGCAGGGGCCTTGGAGGAGGACTTGGTCCAGCTGCACTCTCACAACACCAACAACAACTGTAAGTCATCCAGAGAGGCTGGGGCAGGGCAGGACTCTGTGGACTCTGGGGCCAAGGGAAAAGCCGAGCACTCCTGGAGCCTGTCGACCCTCCGAGGCTTTGTTAGACAGGCATTTGCTTTCTTCCATGAGCACTGAAGCTCTCCTGGCTCCATTCACCAGTAAACCCATGCTGGATGGCAGCTGGAAAAGCCTGCAGGGAGCTGGGAACTTGGGTGCCCAAAATCCTGGCCAAGTGAGGGTTAAGCCATGGCACCATGGCCACCCTAGGTCTTGTGGTCTTTGAGAGCTGTTCTGGTGTGTGTGTGTAACACCATGGCCACTGGGAGCAGTAGCTTGGGAGAGCCCTTCCGAAAACTGCAGAGGGGGTTATGCCCCATGCCCCATGCCCCCGTGGGTGGTGACTCCTTGCTGCATCCCAGCAGATCCCCGTGGTCGGGGCTCACGTATCAGCTCTGCTCTGGGGAACTGCTCCAACACCTCATGTGCTCACAGGAGACCCACCATGTGTGGATCTGCAAACGCTTTCCAGCTCCCTGTGAGATCCCCTGATCTCTGCCACATGCACCTTCTCTGGGTTGATGTTTGTTTATGACAGCTGATGATAAAGCTGATTCTCAGCAGAGTAAGAGCTAAGGGACCTGTTTGTGATGAAGAGTCCAGGCCAAGAGAAGCCTTTCACTCACAAGGGCACCCTTCCCTTGAAATCCCCATCCCTGAAATGGGATTTCAGGAATTCCTGAATTCCTGCAGGAAACCTGAAATGCTCAGCCTCTTTAGGAATGGGGGCCAGAGCAAAGGAGGCAGGAAGGACACAAGGGGGGCAGCATGTGGTGGCTCCTGTGGGGAGCAGAGTTCAGGAACAGCTCTGGAAAGATGATTCATTCTCAGAAATTGTGGAAAAGGTATGTGAAGGCTGCGAGACAGATTATCTTTATTGCAACTGAGGGTATGCTCAAAAATGAAACTCATGAACATTGCTGCAGCAACATTACAGTGCATGTATGTCTCTGTCACTACATTAAAAGGGCAAAGCCTCTGCTCACCTGACTGTGTTTTGTTCACCAAGTGGAGCTCTGCCCTGATGATTTCAACTTGCTTTTTACGTTCTCAAAGGCCAAGACTGCTTCAAAATATCTTCAGAAAAACAACAGCCCCTTCCTCTTTCTCATCACCATAAGACTATTCCTACACCCTTAAATAGCAGTCCCATTTGAGAAGCGCTTCTCAGACAGGAACTGGGGAGTTTCTGTTCCCCAGAGCAGCCCTTGCAGGGACAACTCCTTTAGGAGGGCAGTTGTGGTTTCTTTCCAGCTGCCTTTCAGGGAGTCTGCAGGGGTGACCAAGGGATTCAAGGTGATCTGGCCTGGCTACACAGGTGTATTTGCATCTTGATGCAGAAAGATACACAAACACACACACAGGTAACTTTCTCTGGGGAACTAGAGCTGAGGGGTTTCACAGATCCTGAGCAAACTCCAGTTATATTCAGACTATGTTTTGAAATGCTGCTTGGACGCCAAAATAACCCAGTGTGCAGTAATGACATGTGGAAGAGCAGCCTCCACATGAGTTAACAGGGATCCAGTGACTGGGTAATGCCCAGTCCAGGTGCCTGGGTGGACATATAGATGTATCTGGACATCTTTTTAATTCCAGAGGTCAGCAGCAGATACATATAAAACACACTAGAACTAGATTTAATGCCTGATCTACAACAGTTTTGTAATGCTTTAACTCTAATGGATTGAAGATGTTGGCAATATATCTCCTTCTGGACTTGCTGTGGCCATGTCCATGCCACAGGAGAGCAGGCTGGCTTCGCACAAGTCTGCTCATGCCAGCACAAACTCCATTAACAGCACCAGCGTCAAGTTCTGGTAACCAAAGTGCTGTTGGTAAGACAGACCTGACAAAATATTTTTTGACCTATTAGTCTTGTCACCCTTTGCAGCGGTCAGGGAAGGGGCACTTCAGGGAAGGATGGCTCTTACATCCTCCACTGAGTAAGGCACAGAGTAAACAGTGGAATTAATGAGAATTTCCTTGAAGGAGCCATTTCCTTGGCAAGAGTACCTGTGGCTTAGTCATGCTCCACCCAGAAACATCGACTTAAATGTTCCATTTGAAAGTAAAATTTCACTCACAAATGCTGCACCTAAATACAGTAAAATGATTTTCAGTAATTCCCTCCCCTTGAGAGATAACCAAAACCCTCTAAAGACAGCTTTTCCCCCCATCTTTTGGTCATAGGTTTGACCCTGTATTCTATGCTGTGATAAATTAGGCAGGGACTTCAGAAAGAGCAGGACCAGAACTCTGCTTCTCTAGATGCGTTACAACATCCTCACCATGCCATCCCCTGCCTTGGCTGGGTTCCTTTCCACTGAGCAATAAAAATAAATTTTCTTCCAGTGACCTACCCCTTTGTCTCACTCAGTTAATTTCATACCTACAAAAAGGAAGCTGATTTGGATATAGAGACATGTTTAAAAATATTCCTCAAGTATATGATCATCTCTAACTCTGCTTTTCACTCAGAAAACATATTCACCAAAATCAATGGACTAGAATATCCAAATATTTTTTTTTCTTTAAAGCTTCTGTTGATGTCTCAGTTGTCATGTGTTATCCCAGTTCTGCTGATTCCTGATCTCCTCTCATGGGGAGGAGTTCTGCAGAAGATTGAGTTTAACCTAAGTTTAATTTGTACTAAATTTACTTTGTTATCCCTTAATGCCCAGTTTGAAAAGCAGATTCAGTCAAACAGGGACAGTAACACAAGGGTTTATTTTCCAAAACAGTTCCTTTGTTCTTAGAAGCTACTTCCTAAAGTAAAAATATTAGTCATTATAGTAATAGGGACACTTTCTAATAAATAGTAATCAATTGTTCAATCTATTGCTCAGGATTTCCCACAAATGGCATGGACAAAACTGTCTCTTTCCATTCTCGAGTCTGTAAAATTACTGTTTCCTCCTCAGCCAGATCCCCATAGATCCAATTACAGAGAAACTCTATAAGCAGCTTTGCCTGCCAGCAGTGATGTGGAGAGGCTGGAGGGGGTTCGTTGGGCTCCAGCGAACTCCAGTCCTGAGCAGTGCTCTTATTTCCTGAACACTCACTTCAAAATAAGTGTGAGGTTTAAAAATCATTGGGGTCAAAGTGGCTGCAGCACACAAGCCTCTGTTGAAACATCTCTGGCAATGCTGTTTGCTGCTTTCCTGTCGCAGTGCCTTACTGCTTCCCCTGATGATGAACTAGTCCAGACTCGTACCAGACAGGATAAGAAGCTTGAAGATACCTTTGAAGTATCCTGAAGTTGGTAAAAATCCCAGCCTTGCTTGCCCCAGCTGACAACCCTGCAGTACACCTTAGAAGGGAGAGACCTCATGACCTCTGAGATGTGTAGTTCTTGGCATTTGTGTTTGACACATGCCGTGCTCAGCGCTATTGCTCTGAGTTGCAATATGACAAAGATAAATCTAATTAACTTCAATGTGAAAAGCAGCAGCACAGAAGGTATGGCAGCCTGAAGCTTCCTCAGGAAGCTGCCTCTCAGGAACAGATCCACGACCTGAGGCTGAACCCAGGAATGAACCAGCCCAGTGTCAGGATCCGCTTTGCTGCAGTCGAGAACAGGCTCACAACAAGGATTTCCTGCTGACCAGAGCAGCTACCCCAGCTCAGCACTGCCAATGGGAAGGACTGGCTGCAGAGCCACAGACTCCTCTTCCACTTCCTTGTAGTGAATTGTTTTCACAGGCCCCAGCAGAGAATCCCAGCACAAGAGAGCTGGAGTGACAACTACACAGAGACTTTTAATCCCCACCTTTCTCCTCTCCCTTTTAAATAGCTGCAAACTCTCCCTTTCAGCCACATCTTAAATTTCTACCTGTCTGCTGAGAATGTTTTATACCAAGCTGCACCTGTACTTGGTGCTGACTTATCAAACCAACTCGAACAAAACTCATATTATTTAATATTCTAGGGAGTACACAGACATTATGTGCTACACTCTACAGTATTGCATTTTGTAAGAGATTTTCTTAAGGTCTGATTTTGACTTTTTTTTTTTTTAATTGGTAACTTTGCTCCTGAAGGTTTACAGTCAGTGAAAATGAAGACACAGCTTACTCTACCTGAAAGGAGCTGCCAAGGTTCCTCACATTAAGTGAGAATGTAATTAACATTACCATAATTTTTATTATTACAATCCCACCACATATATATGAAATAATTTAGAAAACCAAAGTCATTCAGGTCCATATTTATTAGTAAACCTGTGCACTGTCAATGCTCATGGTGATGCCTGAAAGAACACAAATAGAACACAGTCTCCATGTTTCAGATACAAGTTTTTCCCAGTTAACATCAACATCCCAGATCAGCTTATAAAACCCCACACTGGGGACTGCAGTCCAGCACAAGAGAAGGAATGACTTGAGGGTGTTATCGATCTGACACACAAAGACCAGTGTTCATTAGAGCTCCCGGGACAGTCTCTCTTACAAGCCCAGTTTGGTCCTCCTCCAGTGTCTCCTTTTGGAGTTGTACCTAAGACAAAAGCAGAGTGAATTAGCAAAGCACACACACACATTTGTTAAACACAAAAGCAGAACAGCACATGGAAACAGTCTTTTCCATGAAAGCACATTAATTTGTGAGCACGTAATTGTCCATGTTAAGAACGAATGCTTTCACCACGGTGTGGGTGAAACCACAGACAGTGTTAACAGAATTGCTCTCAGCAGGAAAATGGCAGCACTCCCACAGCAGGAAGCACTGCAATTGCAGCCTGCTTTAACACAAAGCTTGGACAGAACCGATGGCCCAGCTACTCAAGTGCCAGGAGACAAAAAAATGTGATTTTGCCCTATGGTCAAGTATTTCACAGTACTGCAATTTAGCTAAAACAGAACCCAGTTGTAAGCTGGCATGGGGAAGACAAGGATCTGAGTGCACACACCACTGACCCTGTCTAGAAACAAGCTGGGAGCAGCTACAGGAGGAGAACCTAGCAATGTTGTGCTGGGTCACTGCCTGAGCCAGCCAGTGTTGCTGCTGCTCTCCTCACCGCTTAGATCAAAGAGAGAAAGAGAAGACAACACTGTTGCCTTAAAAAGCCCAGATGAAGGAGTGTATGAGATAAAAAAACTATACTGCAGTTTTCAACCAGAGAGCTTGGACAGGCACCACTCTGTGCATGCCCCATGTGTACCCAGTGTGTCACAGTACTCAACATTCCCCTAAGCACAATGCTCAAAAACAAACACAACAGGAAAGCAAGAAACTATGGCAAATTAATTCTACAGTCAGGTACCAAGCATCTCATACTATCAGTCTGATTTCCCATATATCTCTTAGTCCTTTGCTCCCTTACACACCATCCCCTGAACGTCGGGAGCACGCATGCTCAGGAACTGTTCCTTGAAAATGCAGGAGCCTATAGGGACAGCTATGAGAGAAGAGGAACTGAGAAGCTACCAGGGAACAAAATCTGGAATAAATCATCCACACGTACAGTTCAGGTTTTCACTTTACACGTACTATCACTGAACGTCTGTGGACACTTACAGAGCGCTGGTGCAAAGCCACTACAGAAGGAAATGGCACGGAAGCCCCAGACTGTCTCAAGAGGCTTCACTTGCCCTACCATCCCTGCATGGCCCTCACGGCCACAAAACTGCGCTTTGCTGGCATAAACACCATCAGCTCCCGCCTTCGGCCCGTGCCGCCCAGGCCGCCTGACTGAGCCTGCGCGGCCGCAGCTCCTCAGGAAGCATCAGCCGAGCTCGTTACCTGATCTTATTGCCGGTTTTCATACGAATCCACTGCGGGATGGGCCGGTTCTGCTTCTGCTTCTTGGCGAGGAAGCGTTTGATCTTGAACGTCTTGTGCGACGACTGCAAGAGAGCGCAGAGGTCAGTCCCTCACAAAGCCCCGGCCCCGCCAGGCCTCGGCGAGCCGGGAATGCCGCACCCGGCTCCCTCCCGGCCGCTCCACCCCGCCGGCCCCGCGGCCCGCCCGCCGGGACCCCCGAGCGCGGCGGCCTCGGGGAGAGGGCTCGGGGCTTGGCGGGAGGGCGCGGATGGCCGCGGATGTCTCACCATGGCGCGGAGCTGCGCAGCGTCCCGGCGATGGCGGCGTCCGAGGAGGCGGAAAGGGAGGGGCGGCGGCGACTGCGGAGCGGGCACAGCGCCCCCTGCCGGCCCGGCGGTCCCGCACGCAGTGAGGGGCGGCGGCGGCCGAGCGAGTTTGTGCGAGTTTATTTTGGTTTAGTACAAAAAACAGTTATGGCTAAAATTCGCTAGCTTAGGAGGAGCTGCTACTGGCGAAGTCTCGTTCTGGGCTGTAAAACAATACTTCAGGTTATAAGGGAAGAGGAAGCAGTTCCAAGAGGGCAGGAGCTCAGAAGCATTTCAGACTTGAGAGAAAGGAAGATGCTGGAAAACAGGATGCCCAAACCAGCTACATTTGGTTAAAAATAAGCATTTCAATGTAGGGAGACTTTACATGAGAATTTATCAAGACATATTCAACTATTAAGCCAGCTTATTCATACACTCCAACTTCAGTTACTTTATCCAGAGAACCACTGAAGAGGATGGTCTCCCCCTCCCTAACATGGTTACTGCACTCCCAGATGTTCTGCTCCTTATGTGCCAAAAGGCTTCTATCCACTGGTACCTCAACAACCCCAGCCTATGTATGTGTCTCAGTGCTAGACTGACACACTTTAGCTTTCACTGCCTCACGCAGGAGCACCACACAACACAGCAACACCTGTGTGTTAAGTCCAGGCAACTCCAAGCTTGCTCTGCTTAAGTGCATCCAACACTGGCTCTTACTGCCTTAGAGTAGAGCTCTGGCTTTTGATCCAGGTCTCATTCCCTCCTGACTACAACTCATTTATTATCAAACTTAAGGCCATAAAGTCTTTCTATTTTGCAAAGATTCTCTTCTCTGTTATAGTTAGATGCTGGGAAAATAAGTTCAAATAACTCAAAATATTACAAATGAGAACACATTTCAAATTCCAAATCTACAACTGAGGTTCTTTAACCAGAAACATCCAACAGCACAATGCCCCCCTTTCTTCCTTTGTTCCTTTTTCGCTCCGAAGGCACTTCTGGATTGTGTAGCACATGCTCTTTGGCTGCACAGTCAGAACACATAAGGCTGGCACATCAGTCACTCCTCTTCCTTCGTGTGACTGGTCTCACCCTCTTGTTTCTTATCCACTCCCTGATCTGGGGGCTTTGCAGCACTGTCTTCATACTGACACAATCTGCTCCGGCTTCGGGCTCCAGGCTGGTACAGCTGCATTGCTGGGCGATCCTGAAATAAATCAAAACTATTTAGACTCTTTCATAGTTCCCTGTTCTCAGGGTTATTATGGCATCATTTCTGTGGTATTAGAAATGGCTCAAATTGAAACTTTTCAGGCTAAGCTTAATTATTCCACAGTGGTGGCAAACTTCAACTTCAATTGTCCCAAATAAAGGTTGTCTCTGTTGTAAAGCAACATCCCTGTTCAAGACACAAATAACACTGCTCATACTTGAGGTTATTTGTAATGAGTTTCCTGTTGAGTTCAGCTCACGCTCTCTCAGAAGAGAGGCCAACTTCAAAGTTCCAAAACCCTGAGTTTCATTTGTACCTGACCATGTCTTAAGTGATACAGAAAACAAGCATAGTGATGCTGCAAAAACAGATTTTGTAGAGTACATAAAACTACACTCAAGACATTATTTCTTGAGCCTAGAGGATATGTCATTCTGCAAGTTGCAGTTTCTTATTTTAAGGAACCTGTTTAATCACACTCCTATGATGAGATGTATTTTCAGGCACCTATAATATCAGCAGATACAGACAGATTACTGATACTCTACCAACATCTTAAAGAGACAGCCTATGGCACAAGTCAGCAAATAAAAATGGATCAATGTCCTACAATTCAACCCACGTTTTCTTGGATTAGTTCTTACACAGTGACAAGAAATACCACTGTTAAGCAAATTTTAATGGACATTTCTAGCAATGGCAGAGTTTGTGGCAGAACAGGGAGAAGTTTCAACAGAGAAACCACATGGTTCTTTCCTTGAAGGTCTTTTATCCTAAAAACCACAGATCCATACGAATCAACACATGAATTTACAGAAATCCAGCACCTTGTTTCTGATACGATCCCTCTTAATTGTATCCTCTTTTTTATCGTCTTTGGTTACTTTCTCAGATTTGTCCATGCTGCTGGTAAAGTCTGTAAGATCACTTTTCTTTCCCTTTTCTCTGAGTAAGTCTCTCTCCTTTTTCACCTCTTCCTCTTTTCTTCTAAAAACCTTCTCTTTCTCATAGCGCTCTTTCTGCCTCCGACGCTCCTCTTCTTGGCGTCTCAGTTTTTCTCTCTGTGCTCTCTCATATTCTCTGTCTCTGTCAAAATCTCTATCTCGGTCCCTGTAGTCCTTTACACACTCATCTTCTGATCTGTATGAAAACAAAACTGAAAATTAAGCTCAAAAGATTCATAAAACAGAGCTGGGATATCAATGTGATAGTGGTGTAAATGTGCAATAGGAGGATGACACACTAGGGAGCTCTTGGGAGGCTGTGATAGCCCAAGTCAGTCATGCATGACAGCCAGAGGACACTGTCCACTAGAGTTTCCCAGCCTCCTACTTGCATAGTTGGCCGAGTCTCTTCTGGCTTTGAAAACACATCTGAATTTGTCTATCTTATCTGTATTTCTCACATGGCAGAACTGAACCTCAAACAGATCACAGAGCTGTTGAGAATTACATTTTCCACTGCACCTTTTTACAGAGGGGCTGGTAACTGAGAACACCTCTCCTCATGCCATGGTTATAATAATTATCTCATTGCAAGGCAGTGCTCATAGCCTGCTGCAGTCACCTACGTATGGGCTTCCTTAGTGGAGTTCCTATAATGAGTTATAAAAATATTAAAATCTGTCCTCTAATGAAGAATTTCCAGGTAATTCACAGATCTTTCTGTAATCATGGGAATGTGCACTGCCACAGAAAACACAGCCCATGCCTTATATGAGAAAAAGCATTTGAAAGGAATTTCAAAACATGGTCATGGCAGGGCAGCCTAAGCCTCAGTACAATCAGGAAACAAGTTATAGATACATATATATTTATAGCAAGTACTAGAATACTTTTTTGCCTTCTCTTCTTTTGTCTCCCCATCAGATCGTTTGGCAGATGCACTACTCGCATTTTTTTCCTCCCTCAGAGTCTCTTTTTCCAGTTTCTTGGATTTTTCTTTTCTCTCCAAGTCTTTTTCATCTTTTTCAGGCTTCTTAAGTAGCTACAAAGAAAACAGAAGTCTCAACTAAAAAGCTCACTCTAATACATATTGTCTGGCACAACACTGAAATTGCATCAAAGGAACCACAGTGCAGTCAGAAGTAAACATTAAAAAATATTACTGCAAATCACAGTATTCCTAAAAGCTGGAGTGTATGAGTAAGCATTATTCACACAGCAGACTAGGATTTTTCTCCTAAACCAGGCTGTTTTAGAAAGCTTAAAAATAGTCTCCATTCCATAGCAAATTCACAATCCTGTTTACCGCAGCATGTACAACAGTCACATGACAAAAAACTTTAAATATCACTATGAAACATTACAGCATGTAAACCTTTACAATGCCTACTACTGAATATTACAAAAAATTGCTCATTTACTAACACCAAACTCATGTGATTCTTCACACAATACCCAAAGTACATTTTGAGACTGATATACAAATAATAGGGGAAAGGGAGTGTAACAGTTTATAATAAAGAACTGTTCTAGACCTTAATCTTTGGTTCTTCTTTTGATCTGTCTCTTTCTTTTTCTGGGCATCTGTCTACCTTCTTCAATTTTTCTGCTTCTTTTCTCTTCCTCCTCTCCTCTTCTTTCCATTTTCTTCTTTCTTCTTCTCTTTGTCTTTTTCTTTCTAATTCTCTCCTCCTTCTCTCCTCTCTTTTTTCTTCTCTCAGTCTCTGTGTATGTAAAAGCAAAGAGAAATAGTGTCTCTCCACAACAAGAAACACATCTTTAAGCCATCAAACAACTCACCTCAAAGCTCCCACTATAAAATAAAAAAAAAGTCCTGTCACGTCTATGTTGTCATTGTGAACCTGAACATGTTGCAGTGTTTTTTTTACTCATAAGTCTTAATTTGTACTGTCTTTAAAAACTCAAATACTACACTGGCCTCAGCCTTTATCATTCAAATTTTAATTAAATCTGCCCAATCTCTGATTTTCTCCATTGCTAGAAGTTAAAATAACCTTACGTGCTACGAGAAAGATCATCTACAAGGACCTCAGCCCTCAGCCATACTGCACTAAAAATGGAAGGACTAAAATGGAATCTGTTTTTTCAGTGCAACAAGAGACATTTTGCTGTGACCAGAATGTACACAAAGCACCACCATTCCAACTCTCTAGTTCTTTAAAATATATGAACCAAAAGCTGACAAGTTGGGTCAAAAGCTCCTTCTTCAAAAGGAAGGGCAGAAATGCATCAACATATAATGAGCAAATTGTACTTGCAAACAAAAAGAAAATTCTGGAGGTAAGTCTTACCTGTTTATTTTTCAAGAAGTTCAATAAAGGAGTAGTCTTTTTAGCTGGAGAATAGATAAAACAAATGTAAATATTTTGGCTTATCCAATACAGCAACACCTAAAACAAAGCTCTATATGAAGTGAAGCAGCCTTACACATTCCCCTGCCTGTCTCCTCTCACAGACAGCAATACAGCAGTGAAACAAGTATTCCAAACCTGTCTCCAAACAGTGGCAACTATTAGGATTCCATAAACTTCTTTAGGATACTAACAGGATATCCATTACACCTATCTCTACATTCAGTCTGCATTAGGCTTCTCCCAGACACTCTCATTTTTAATAAGATCCCTGTAAGATACTTAAAAAGAGCAACCTGGTAATTTTTGATGGTATTTTACCCAACCAAACTATCTCTTAACTTGTGCCTGCACGGAACATCACAATCACAACACTGTGCATTAACCACCACTGCATCTCACAGAAATGCAGCACTCCACAGCCTGGTCTGGCTAGCAAACATCTGCAACAGGAAGGAACTTTGTCATCTAAAACTTATACCTACAGAAGAATTTAGAGCATGGGAACAAAACAAAACACTGAATATTAGCCTAAATGTTTAACAAATACTAAGTAGGCACACAAAAGGATTCAATCTCCTCCAGGCTGAGCTTTAAATTACAAAGCATATTTGTTTCTTTGTGATCTAGGAAAATGTAACTATAGTACACAAATTTCCATACCTATTAGCTCTTTGTTTCTTGCCTCTATTTCCTCCAATAAAGTTTCAGGAGTGGAGGTTAATTTTTCATCATCTGCACTGTAACTTTCCAAAAACTTCTTGTATTCTGGATCTACACAGAAGAGAAAGGAAAAAAAAAGGGGGGAAAAAAGAAGAGATACTGTAGCATGAAAAGTATTTGCATCATGCACTCCTTGGTTACATTCACTTAAGTTGGGTTGTTTATATGCCACCTTTTTATAAGTTAGCAGCTCTCAAATGAGCTGCTGTATTATGTTTGTCTGGAACAATAATATTTAACAGATTTCTAGCTGACAAAGCAGTGCTCATAAACTTCGCATATAATTAAGCAAACATCCTATTGGTGGAACTATAGCATCACAGTAAAAACATTACATTCAAATTACTGCTAAGACTTTCAAGTCTACACATGCAAAACAAACTGTCTCGCTGTTATACCATCTTCAATAGTTCCAGTTTTGGCATCCTTTTTCTTACTCTTCTTTTTTGCAGCTTTCTGGAAAGGTGCAAACTCAACTATGGCAGCATATTCCTGACCTGTTGAGAGAAAAAAAAAACACATTAAAAAAAAGATGAAACAGATATAAAATAGATTATATTGCCCACATCTAAAGCAGGAAGTTAAATCTCACAAGAAATATGCAATACTAGAAGAGACTACTTACACAGCACAATAAGATTACTGTATTTGGAAACCCTTTTAATAAAAAAAACCTACTTTACAGACAGCAGAATTCATGACCTTAACACTCTCACTATACTAACAAACCAGCAAATTCAGACTGACAAGAAGGACATACTAGATTCAAGACTGCCCATGACTGTCAGTTCGGCCACCTCAGCGGCACCACACCACCTAACGGCCTCATCCTACAGACTCTGCGTTCATTGTGCAAGAAAGAATATTTTAAATTAATGCAACTGAGGCATTGCAAAAACTCAATTTTTGACACAATATAGTAGAGTGCAACACATTACAAGCATGCTTTAAAGCTTTATCTTCCGACAAGAGCACTACATTTATGGCTGCACAAATCCAGCTGGGTATGGCAAACACAGCGTGCTGTTACACTGCAAACCAACTCATTTAAAGGATGTTATTAGAACAATATATGTATGTATTTTTAGATGTACTGCAACTGCTGTTGGGAGGCACCAAACCGAAACAAGTCAGACGTGGCTGCTTACACCCCCTCCTCCAAAACTCAACCAGCACACGGCACAGACAGCAGGGAAGCAGCAACATCCATCGAGTGCCATTCACTTGCCTTTGTGATCAACAAAAACGTAGCCGTCGAAGCGATCCCTGAAGAGGACTATGTCTTCCTGGTTCTTGAAGTTGATGTATGCTCTCGAGAACATGTGTGGGTACAAGCTGCAGAGACACAAACCGAAAACGCTGGGCTGACGAGGCGGCGCCGCCACTGGGGCCCGGCTGGCGATAGCGGCGGCTCCCGGGAGCGCCCGGACTGGGCAGGCGCGCGTACCTGGAGTCGTTCGCGAAGAACTCGAAGTAGTCGTGCTCGGGCAGAGGCTGCAGGTGCTCCTCCAGCTGCTCCTTCGTCAGGCTGGGCGGCAGCCGGCGGATCACCACCTGCGGCACGGCAGGACTGGCGCTCAGGGCGGCGGCAGCGCCGGGGACGAGTCATTACCGCGCCTCCCCCGACACGTCCCGTCCCAGGAGGCCCCCGCAAGCGGCCCGTTAGCGGGGAAGGTCCCGTTACAGAGGGGGAGCCCTGTTACCGGAGGGAGGAGGGGCCCATTACAGAGGGTGAGCCCCGTTCCGAGCCAGGGAGGGCGCCGTTCCCGGCGGCGCGCAGGCCCCACCTTGCTGAGCGTCTCCTTCTTGTCCTTGGGCCGCTCCAGGCGATCGAGCTCGGCGGCGCCGGCTCTGCCGTCCGTGCCGGCGGCGGGACCCGTGCCTGGCCCCGCGGCCAGCAGAACCCCCGGTCCGGCGGAGGCCCCGCGCCGCTCCTTGGGCCTGGCGTTCTCCTTGTCCTCCTTCATCCTGAACCCAATCCGGACTCCAGTCCCGGGCAGCGCCGCGCGCACCCAGTGACGGCGGCCTCTCGCGAGACTGTGCCTAAAGGTGCTGCTTCCTCCGCTGGACTACCACTCCCAGCGTGCACCGCGCCCTCCACGGCTGACCCCGGGGGGTCAGCGACCGGGACCGGCACCGAGAGCGGTATTCGGCGAACTGGGACGCGGGCACGGCCTCATTTCTTCCCAAGGGACTGTTCTCCAGCACCGCTGTCGCTCCCGCTGCCCGCTCGGGCCCGCTCGGCTGTGACGGGGCGCGGGGCAGGTCGGGAAGGGCGCGGGGCAGGCTGGGAGTGCCCCGGCACTCAGCGCACGGGCGGCGGTACCGATAGCAGCACCGGCACCGGCGGGATGTGGTACGAGATCCTGCCCGGCATGGCCATCATGGGCGTCTGCCTCAGCATCCCCGGCATCGCCACCGTCTTCATGCACCGCTTGTGCCACGGCGGCAAGGTCAGCGCGGGGCGGGGCGGCGGGTCCCGGGATCCGGGACCCTGAGGCTCCGCTTCCTCCCCGGAGCCGCCCTTTTCCCCCAGTCCCCTGCATCCCTCTGGGATCCCTTCCCTCCCGGGGCTGTCCTTACCCCGCGCTCCGCCTTCCCTCTGGAGCCCCTGCCCGCGACCTTAACAGGCAGTTCTGTGCCTGCAGGAGAAGAGGATCGCCCGCTATCCCTACGAGTGGACCCTGATGGAAAGGGACCGGCGGCTATCGGGTGTCAGCAAGCACTATGTGTCCAAGGCAGGTTTTGGGAGCGCTGGGCAGGTACCGCCGGGGGGAAGCGGGACCCAGGTGCTGCTCCCGCATCCCCGAGCTCTGGGACAGCTGCTTAGGTGGGCACTGGTCGCTCTTGGGGTTGTCAGATCTCACTCGGTGCCTGCAGCTGGTCTGCCTTTGGGGATGTGAATTTTGATTTTATTCTACTTAAGACCTGGGTAATTAAAA